AAAAGTTACCTTGATACACCGTGAATGATAGCTTTGAGAGCCTCTTATGAAACCCAGTTTTTTATTTTTATGTTGTGAGATAACATAAATAATATCAGGTAAAAATGCCAGGGTGATGTAGATACCATACATCACTAGGTGTCAAATGACTTTAAACCAGCTCAAGGCAATGCATGTACTTTTGGAGGACAGAATTTGGGCAGATCTTTTAACATTTTTAATGGTTGTACGAAAGTATACAGAGAAAGTGTGAACAGGGAAATGGAACGCCGAGGCCTTAGCTAGAAGAAACAAAGCAACTTCTTTTCCAGAAAATAGAAATTTTGCCCCACCCAAGATTTGAACTGTAATCTAATAATATTTTTAAGGCAATGTCTTCAATTTCTGAAATGGACAATTTCCTAGAAATGTACCTGGGTAATGGTACCTAAGTAATGGTACCTAGAAACAAGATTTCTGATTATTTAAAAAAAAAAATCTGGTTTATATTTGCATTGTTTGTTACAGCCAAATAGAAATTGGAAATTTAAAAAATCGTTAAACTGAGATAATTTTTAAATTTTTAACGGGGCATTTAATGCAAAATGTAATTCCATGTAGCATTCATGGTTCTTCTGAATGCTATTCTTTTAACTGACAAAGCTTATCTTCTCTCTCTCTCTCCTTATGATAAGAAACATTTTATTAAGCTCTTAAACATTCGATAGACAAAATCTGCTATCAAAGATATTTTTCCCAGTTTAGAGATGCACATAATGACATTTGCATTCTCCTATGTTCAAATGATTTATTCATATTTCTTTAAATTTAGTTGCATGTGCAGGGAAGTTTAATTACCCAGCTATCTACTTGGTTGCAATATTACCCAGAGGACTGCACTTCTTTCTTAATTAAAAATATTTGAACTTAATAATAGAGGACTCTATTAAAACATTAATAAAACATTGCAAGTATACAAGTCCTTAAATTTTACTAAGTAGTGAGCAAGTAAGAGTTGTTTGAGCATTTTTGTCAATCATAATGCAGGAGGGAATTAGGAAGGAATTTTTTCTTTTGAAGGTCTTCGTGCATATGAACTTTGATGAAAAAGCCAATGATGGAAATCTCTCTCTCTCTCTCCCCCTCCCCTCCACATACATATTCTTCACACTTTCCTCTAGTACTAAAAGAGAAGGGAGATAGTAGAGGAGATATAACAATGCTTGTAAACTGCAACTGTTTGGTTGCAAACAGGAACTTTTATGAATTAAAGAATTCTATTTTTTCTGTCTTTAAAAAAATAATGTTAATATACTAATAATTACTAACAGGTTCATTATTGGCTTCTGAGGTCTCAAAAGCCATTCATGTTAAAAAGACAAATTTGTTTTGGCTTAAAATATGTGGCTTTCAAACTACTTTGATCCAGTCCATTGAAACTTTAAACAGATCAAGGTATATTTGGATAGGTTCAGTCCATCTTTCTCAAAAGAGATTCCTAACCGAGAGTCAAGTGCTTCATTGGAGCTTTCCTTGGATACTGACTGCTTCAAAAAAAAAGTACTAGAGGTCATTCTAGTCCCACAATTGGTCCCTATTTGGTCAATTAGTTTGTCCATGGAAAGAAAGAAAAAAAAGAACACTGCAGTTGTGTAATATGTCTGATAATTTCTGCTTTGTCCATTCGCAGGGGTGTCAAACTGGCAGCCCATGGGCTGGATGTGTCACGCACAGGCCATGCTCACCCCAGCTCCACAAAGGGGAAAAATATGGCAAAATGTCACATGACGGCAACGTTACGCAGAAGTTTGATACCCGTGATTTAAAGGAACAGATTATGGAATAATCTTCCTGAAGCAAGCCTCCTTATTATAATTTAGGATAATACAGACATTTATTTATTCAGAAGTTATTTTACAGTTTTCACGTTTATTTTTATTTGTTCCATATTTTGTATTTTTGAAGATCTTTTCATTGTATTATTATGGAACAGCCTAGAATCACTGAAGGAATGGAAGGCATGTTTATTCTCCAAAATAAATATAAAATAAACATTTGTTAGCTGTAAAGAGTATCACCAGATGGACTTCGATGATGGATGTCTTTTAAAGACTCAAAACAAAGAGTAAACATGGAACTAGAGAAAAACAGAGGTGACCGATATAATTAGGCCTCTATTTGGGATGCTTATAGAATCAAAACTCCAGTGCCTTGACTTCTCGGCATCAAAGTTATGGATGGAATATACATATAGCCAGATAGAAACAAAACAGGAAAGTCAGGAGCTATTGTAATGATACTGTATGTTCTAGACAGGAAAATATCATAAAAATCTGATAGTTTGTATTATCAGAATGCAAACCATTTAAAAATTCTGTAAAGTTCCTGGTCATTGCAGGAATTAACCTATTAATTAATTAACCTATCACTTGAGAAAGGGAAATCTAGATATTAGATAAGAAAATGTAAGACTAGATCAATGAATCAGAATAGAGCTGGAAGGGATCTTGTCTAACCCCCTGCTCAAATAAGAGACCCTATACCATTTCAGATAGGTGGTTGTCCAGTCCTCTCTTAAAAACTCCCAGTGATGAAGCACCTATAACTTCTGAAGGCAAGCTGTTCCATTGGTTAATTGTCCTCACTGTTAGGAAATTTCTCCTTAATTCCAGATTGCTTCTCTTCTTGATTAGTTTCCATCCATTGTTTCTTTTCTTGCCTTCTGGTGCTTTGGAAAATAAGTTCACCCCCTCTTCTTTGTGGCAGTATTCAAATACTGGAATACTGCTATCATGTCACCCCTAGTCCTTATTTTCTCTAGACTGGCCAAACCCAATTCCTACAACTATTTTTCATATGCTTTTGTTTCCAGGCGCTTAACCAGCTTAGTTGTTCTTTCCAAAGTGCACTTTTTCCAAAGTCTCAACATCTTTCTTGTAATGTGGTGACCAAAACCAGATGCAGTATTCCAGATGTGGTCTTTCTAAGGATTTGTAAAATGGTACTAATACTTCACGTGATTTTGATTCTATGTCTCTGTTTATGCAACCAAGGATTGTATTAGCTTTTTTGGCTGCTATATGGTGGGTAATAAAACCAGGAGAATAAGAATTAAATTGGACTATGACTTTTCTGTTATCCTTCAATCACTTCATTTTCTATTTGGGTGGTGGCGGCGGCTGCAATGATGTTCTGAAGTGCAGAGAGGAATGATCTTCATCCACAGATTACTATTGAAATTCTGTCAATTTTCCTTTCCTTTAAACTGACTTGCTAATGTACCGACTTCAGCAGTTTGCTCTTAAAATTACAATAACCTTGCCTTTTACTCCGTGTAGACGTTTGAACCGTTGCTTGATAATGAAACTTAATTTTCTCTCTCTTTCCCCCCCCCCCCAAAGAAATCCAGTTTGATAGCGATTGGAAGAGAAATTAAATACTGACTTAAAAATTCAGGACAAAAGAGCTGAAACTCAACCAGACCTTGGGGATTATCCATGCCAGTAAGTGCTTTCCCTACTTGAGAAGTCTAAGCAGCTGTCCATCATAACATACCAGAGAAAGGCTTGTGAAAACTGCTGTGAAAGGGGTGTGTTTGGCACACTCGTTCTGGTCTTTCCTCTTTCTTTTTGCTCAAAAGAGAAAACATTCAAACAAAGGTTTAAACATTTCACATAAAGGACAACCATCTATGGGGCTGGTATTTTGCTCACCTCTTTGTATAGATTATTAGCAAGCAGAAGTTACTTGGAAAATGCTATTCGTTCCTGAAAGCCTTGTAAGAAAAAAAAAGCTATGAGCCAACAGTTGAATTACTTGCCTATTTTTTTAATGCATGTGGTTGTTAGATTTGCATTGTAGCAGACGGCACTTATTTCCAGTCTCTACTGGCTTAGCTGAAAAGCATGCAATGATGCTTGCAGGGCAGACAGCCCCAAGTGCTACAAACACAAAAACCAAATCTGGTATTTCAGAGAGGCAATCAACCTGTCAAATTCCATGCCTACTACTATTCTAACAATTGGGGAAAAAAGTTCTTCTTATGTGGAATTCAGTCAGAGAGCAAATAGCTTTGCAAATTCTCTTCCAAGGGAACATTACTATGGCATGTAATTATTGATCTGATAACCCAGTTCTGTAAGGCTTTAGGGTGGTGCTAAAAGTAAATGTTGATCTCTAAGGATTTCAATTAAAAAGAAAAATAAAAGAAATAGATCAGGTGTATGAGAATAAATGTCCTACATCACACTAAAGTGCAATCTTTCCAAGCATTTATATTATATTAACCAAATAGCCAGAGAAAATCCATAAGCAGGATACAAGTGTGGAAACATCTTTCATTGTAAAAATGAACAAAATTCTTCAGTGTCTGCAATTGTTCCAAGAAACTTCTTTTCCTCCAGCTGCTAGAAACTTTCTGTAGATATACCAGCCATATTTAAAACCAGTTAATAATAATTCATTAATTTTTCTGCCCTCTTCTTTCACTCATTAATTTAAGAAATGCGAAATTACAATCGGACAGATTGGAAATAAGTTGTTTTTGTAGAAAATGTTTCATTATCCCAAACAAGACTTTGTCAGCCCCTGACAAATCCAGGCATATAGACTGACAAATCATGGCAAATAAATAAGTTTTAAGTTTGATTTTCATAAAAAACTTTTTATATTTGCCTCTCTTTGGTATTAAAAACATATATTCTATCCAAGGTCTATTTACTTACATTTATCCTCCAGCCGGATTTAGTGTGCCTGGGAGACTATGTACTTACATTGCTAACTATTCTTGATCCTAATTAGTAGTCCTATTTTGCCATGAATGTATCTTGTCTTTTTTAAAAATTTATAATTAATTAATCTTTGTATCATGGATCAATCTGGCAGCTTTCTTCCTCTTCCATGATTGATCTTTGCTTTATCCCATGGTAACACTTTCTAAAATGCTAATGTTATTAACAGATGTAAAGATGCAAAAGCTTAAATATCCTTTTTATTCCAACAAGATTTATAAAAATACTTACAAGAATTTGGACTACTGGATTTGAGTCCTCCTGCTGGATTTCTTTTAGGGATTTTCTACTTATTGAACTTCTTAATGCACTGATGGAGAAACTTTTTGAGACTCTAGATATTTCCTTACAGGGTTCAGATAGGTTTCCAACCGGGGATAAACAAGAAGTGGGCAACAAGCTTCTTTGAATGTTATTTGCTTTGTCCATTATCACAACAGCATCTTCAGTACACTGGGGTGATATTTCTTCTTCGGTCTTTTTTGTACAGAAGTTGTATGTCCTGCTTTCAGGACTCTTGGATGCCATTTTGGGAAGAATCTCCTTGGATATTACTGGCTGAGGTAATCCTGATATGAAATAGTTATTTGGAAGATTCTGAGTCTCTTGCACGAGGTCCATGTAACTATCATCCTAGAATAGGGAAACAAGACAAGATGAACACTGCTCATTAACATACGTTTTCCAGCCTCCCCAGAATATTAGAAAAACTACAATCCTTTCTCTTGCCTGAGAGATAACTTTTACACTGATGCTGTCTGGAAGAAAAAAAAAAAAAGGATATTTATGAAAAATAAAGCAAGCACAACTAATATTTTTAAATTATGAACATCTAGCCTGAAAACAATTACGATCTGAAGGTCTATTTCTATCTTATTCCAGCCTTATTTCTATTGCAGGAATTGTTACACAATTATTTATTTGTTGATTGGAAAAATCAATTTCAAAATAAAAACTGTTGTTATGCTAAAAAAAAACTGCTGTGAGACTGAAACATTCTGAATAATCAAGAATTTCTTGTTAACTAAAGGGTATTAAAAAAAGCAAAATGTTTAGAATAGGAAAAGTCCTGGAAGAAATCTTTTCTATTTCCAATTATATTATTTAGATTATCATCTTAGTTTAATGAACTCTGATATGAACAAATCCTTTGGTTGTGCTGGAAGCTCCTTCTTAGAAGGTGGAAACCAAACTAGGAAGCTTTTAGTAAACTGTGTATAATGTCATCTATTTTACTTTTTTTCATCTCAGTGAATGATCCAATCCTTCTGGTTTGTAAACCATGTCTTTATTATATATGTGAAGCAGGCCATTAGTTTTGGTCAATACATCATGGTTAAAGCCAGCATACTTTAATGTGATATTGAATTCAACCAATTATCCTCTTCCTCTAACCTAGACAACCATAATTGACTCAATGCCTTTTCCAAATTTGTATTGTGGGGTTTTTTTTTGATTCAGAGAAAAAAGGAAAGTATTTTTTCATTAAATGTAATTTCATAACAGCCCACTGTTGCTTCGAAACAAGATGGATAGCAAATAAATTTAATAAATAATCAAAAATTTCCTAGTTTATTTGCCAATCTGTGAAAAGATTTAGGATTGACAAAATATTTCATTTATATCTCATTTAGTGGCCAAATTCCTCTCGTTTAATTATTAATCTATTGAAGTAAAGAGGTTTCCAGCTTTTTTTTTTTAACTGAAGGGTAAAAAAATATCAATTATGATTATGTGCCATCAAGTAATTTTATAGACTCCTAGGGACTGGATAGATTTTCTCCATGAAGATGTTTCACTAATTCTTTCTTCCAACAGTATATTCATCTTGCTGGTGGTCATCCTCTTCTCTTTCTATCCACCTTTCCTAGCATTAGACTCTCTTTGCCAGTGAGTTGAATCCTCATATAATGTGTCCGAAGTAAAATAATTTAAGCCTGGTCATCTGTGTTTTGAATGAGAACTGTAGGTTGGTTTGTTCAATGATTCATCAGTTTCTTTTCATGGCTGTAGATGGTATACTTAGAAGTCTTCTCCAATGTCAAAGTTCAAACACATCAATATTCTTCCTGTCCTGCTTCTTTAAAGTCCACCTTCCACTTCTAAAGAGTATCATGGCTTGCAAAACCTCTTTGTAGATGGAGACACATCATGGTATTTGACTATCTTTCCAAGGTGTTCACAAGTTGCTCTATCCAGTGCTAGTCTGTGGCGTATTTCTTGACTGTATGTTCCTTTTCAGTGGATGGTTGCTTCTAAAAGGCAGAAGCTATCTACTGTTTCAATATCTTCATTGTTAATTCTTTGGTTGTTCTATCTGCTATTGTTAGTTTGGTCGTCTTTACATTTAATTTTAGTCCCCTTTTTTCTCGTGTTTTTCGACATTTAATATTAGAGTTTGCAGATTCTTTGCATTTTTGATATCAGGGTAGCATCATCAACATAGTGGGTTGCTGAAGTTTCTTCCTCCAGTTTTAAAATCATGCTCATTTTCTTCCTACACAACTTCCCCTAATATATACTGCTCAAACAACTAAAGGGAACACAAAACTACTGTATGTAACAAATAAAGTATTTAATAAGGCTATTTCATTCATTCAGATCTCGGATGTCTTCTGCTTGTGTTCCCTTTATTTTTTTTGAGCAGTGTATATTGCTCATATGTAACTAAGTTTTTTTTTCTATATTGCTTTCTCTTTCCAAAAGTTCAAATTCCAATATGATACTCTTTTCTTCAGGTTTTGTTCCACAAAACAGCCCTTTGAAGTAAGATGGGCTAAGAGACTGTGACTGGCCCAAAGCTTTCCAGTTTACCTTCAAAATCTAACTGTGGACTAGAGCCTTGGTTACCCTGAACCCAGCCCCCTGGCCTAACCACTACAAAATAATAACTTTTCTAATTAACAATTCAACTTTCTTCTGAATTTTTTTTTTCTATCTCTATCACACATATACACACATCACTTTTTAACACATATCCATACATGAAGAGGAATTCCAGGTGCGTTGCCAGTGGGAATACAGCAAAATAACAGCAAGCCTTTAAACCCATCATATTACCTCTCCATTGCTCTCATTTCCATAGAAATCATCTTCCATTTGAGCTCCTCGCCAGTCCTTGCTCATTTCTTCCTTCAAATCCAAAGAAAAAGTGCAATCTTCTGAAGAAAGACTCAAGGGCTTTCCATGAGGCGCTGATCTAGGTTTTGAGGAGTAAGTGAAAATATCTTCAGGGACTTCAGCTGCTTCTTTGTTTTCATATGTCTGGTCGTCACTTGGGGCAGAGCCTGAAACATCATGGGGTGTTTCATAGGTTATCGGCAGAGGACTGCTGGACTCCAATTGAGAGTTTTCTTTGTCAGGAAATATCCATTCATCTGCAAACATGAAAAGTTGAACAATGCGTATTAATGATTTCTGGATGCTTCTTCGGGAAAAAGCAACAATTTATATTGCAATATGGATAAGTAGGTAGAAATTGAAAAAAAAAATCAAAATATTTTTTAAAAATGATAGTAATTTATCTGTTGGACAAGGATTGGGGACCTCCAGGTTCAAATCCACCATTAACTATGGAATTCACTGGGAGACCTTGGGGCAATCAGTAAGTTGAAAGTATGTTACAATTTTCTTATTCATTTACTTGTTCATCTATCCATCCACCCACCCACCCACCCACCCATCCTCCCACCCACCCACCCACAAGACATGTAAGATCGCTCAACTCAAACAATATGACTTTGGCTGAAGTGTAGCATAAAATCAAACAATAAATCAAGCACACTCCCCCCATTTAACATTAAACATCTACAATATATAAACACAAAAAACACCATATAAAAAGGGTTGTTTTGGTGGGGAATAAAATAAATAGAAATTGCCATATGAGCAGCCTTAGACTCCTTGGGAAAAAACAACAGAGAAAAAAATCTACTAAGTACAGTAAGTAATAATAATTCTAACTTCTCAGAATAGAACAAAATGAAGTCTTACTTAGACCTTTAATTCATCTGTCTTGCACTATATATTTGGAGCAGTTCTGCTGAACAAGGTCCTGGTTGCATGGACATATTGGGGACTTCAGTAGGTAGTATGGTGAGAAATCATAGGGCCTATCAATGAGTAATCCTTCCTTACAATGGTACCAGACTATTGCATTCTCCACTTTACTGATCCTGTCTTCAATTTTATAATTTTTAACCTCTCTTCTCAAAATATTTCCAGATTAATTATTTATAGTTAGACACACATATTTTAATTTCAATATACAGATGATTTTGGAGAAATATTAGGCATGATGTCCTCACTTAATGTAGCATTTTGATGTTTATTTTGATAGATCACTGCAAGATTGTTGATCCCAACTTTGCACGTGTTTTCAATAGTATAGAAATACAAGCTTTTATTGTAATTAATTATCTACCGATAACATTCCTCCACTTTTGTTCTTCCACTTTCTACAGGCAGTGTGTCTTCCAGTTTATTGCAAGGGCCTAGGCTCTTTATGTTATAAATCTTTTTAAGATGTGGTCACAGAACTACTTTGCATCCTGAAACACTAATCAGTGTAGGAGTGCTGGTAAAAACATCCCTAATGAGCAATATTGTTCTCCATTGTACAAGAATGTCAAACATTCTTCTGGATAAAGTACAAAGATGTACCTGGTTATACTACAGTGTGTATCAATAAAGTATAATGTAAACAACGAACAGCAAAATGGTTCCTACAATATGTATCTTGTGAAGTCTTCCCTAAATCCATTTTAGGGGATTCATTGTTACAATAATAGAAAAGAAATCATTCTTAGAAATGATTCAAGTTTGTTCCTATCCGTTTAATCATATCCCTTCATCTACACATCCCCGCTGTATTCTGTTTCTTAGTTATGCTGGAATGTGACTGAAATAATTATCATCACATTTCTTAAAAGTGAGTTTACCCTTCTTCTCCAAAGAGGATTTCTTAAATATTCCGTCTTTTATTTTCAGCTCATGTTTAATTTATACTTGAATCTCAACTCTATAGCTCTGGGCTGGGGTAGGGGGTGGGTGGGAGAACATGAATATATCCATTTTACCAGCTTCCCTTGTGATCAGGCAATACTAATCTTTTTATTTTAGAACAAACAAAAAGCCACTGATATGGATTTAAATAATGGCTGCCAGATCAGCCAGAAGCAATTTTTTTAACTCTTTCATCACTAAATTATATTTTGTTGTTTGAAATGATGCTAGGGAAAATGAGAACGATTAAGGGAAATGTGAAATAACATCAAAGTCTGCTCAAATATGCATCATTCAATTATTTTCATTGAAGGTAATATCATATGCCTTGGTTGCTAGAACCTGAAACATCTTCAGAAACTAATATCACCAACAACTTAATTTTTTTCTTAAAAAAGTCTCAAGTTTAGTCTATTTCATTATTAACAGCAGACAAATATGAAAAGTATAGAAGTTTTATCTCTTTCAATGTATGTAAACAAAAAAGCATAAAGAAGCCCCTGTAAATTTTATTCCGCTAATCGTTGCCAACTATAGGGGGCCATTTCAAGGCCATTTATTCAGCGTTGTCCAAATATGTTTCTGCGATCATGTGGCCAGCATGACATTGTGCAGCACTGTTACCTTGCCACTGAAGGGGTACCTGTTTATCTACTCGCATTTGCATGTTTTTGAACGGCTAGGTTGGCAGGAGCTGGGGGGAGGACAGGAGTTCAACCTGTCACATGGTGGTCAGGTCTCAAACCAGGGATATAAGCTTTCCACCTGACAAGCCCAGCATCTTAACTGCTGAGCTATCGCCACCCATGTACACATATATATGTAATATAACTTATTTTCAATTTCTGGCTGAAATTTTGTTGTTCTTTTGCTTCTGACTCATCATGACCTGATGGCCATCATCTTGGTAGGATTTTCATTAACTATTTTTGTAAATTCTTGTTATATTTTCTTCATCAGTGATCCAGCCACTGTGTCTTCTGTTCCTTTTTATTGTCATTTATTTTTCCATGCATCAAAGTCTTTCCCCAAGATTCTTGCTTCATCCTGGGTGCCCATAATATATAAGCTAGGGCTTCAGTATTAGAGCTTCCAGTGAGCATTATGAATTTACTTTGTCTAATATTGAGTAATTTGTTCTTTCTGCCTTCCAAAGTATTCTCAACAGTCTTCTCTAGCCCCACCATTTAGCCCCAACAAATTTCCACATTTAGATCGATGGTTCCTCTTTCACATTAATATACATCTTGGAAAACCTTGGCCCAGACAATAGGATTCTTTGTCATTGTGATATCTCTGATCTTTAATATTTTCTTTAGATTTACCAAAGTCTGTCTCTCGGATAGTATCATGTCTATTCCTTTGTGCAGAGAAAAGGGGATTGTGGAATAGGGTTCCGAGAGTATCCTATTTAATATGCTTTCTAGGTTCCTTCTAATTTACAGATCGCCAATTTTCACTATGCAAGCAAGGTGCTTTTTTTGGCCTCATGACATTGAGTATTGGAACTAGGCAAACACTGAACCAATCACAAGTGCAATTTAGGAAGGGTAATAACAACACATAAACAACATTTATGATGTTGCCCATCCAATACAAAGTGAAGAACCCCCTTCCTAAATTGAACTTGTGATTGGTTCCGTGTTTGCCCGGGGAGGATAGATTTTGTTCAGCTTGATACTTTTGGAGAATTAGACAAAAATTTAAATTTGATTGAAATACAAACAAGTGGAAAAAGAATCTAGCGAATAGTATTGCGGAACTCTGTTTCACACCAATTATTGCACAGTTCAAAATTAATGTAAATTATGACCATAGTAGCATTGATACTTGCTTACAAATGAAAGAGACGTGTGTTCTAGAGCAAACAAAATTTTATTAGCTCTGAGTCACAAGAAATGCTGAAATTCTTCTATGGGGAGTCAGGGGGGGATATCAAATGTATCCATATCAATTGTAATGAATAATTTTGTGTAACTTCTTAGGAAAATATGTAAATTACTGTGTAATCATGGTAGTGCAGCAAACATGATAAATACAAGAATGATCACCTAAATTTCTAATTACTTTCACTGCAGAGTCAGATTTATGCTGGAGCCTCTAATTGCAGCCTCACATTTTAATGAAGGTTTTAACACGACATAAAAAAGCTGACAAATGATATACAATATTCATTTGTTTTATTTCTTTCTTCGCCACCAATTTCCCTTTTGTAATGACATTGTGCACCTGCTAGAGAAGATATGTTTATACATTTTCTATGCTGCCAGTTTAAAGAATTTCTGTTCGTAACTGGAACAAATCTAACATAAAGCAGTGCATATTATCTTTGGATTATAGATCAATTTACAACGGAAACAAACACATATTCTGCACTTCCCTTGCATTATTCTGTATCTCCACAATTCCCTCCACATCTTTAATGTTAATAGACACAAGATATTTGTTTTCTTTTTTGCAATATTTCAGTATTTATTTCAACTGCATTTATCTGGGACTAGAATCTTTAGACTACCATATATTCTCCAGGAAGGAGTCAAAAGCTAGTTAAAAAGGAACTAAACTGTTTGGTCTTTGCCCCACTTTCTCCTACCTCTTTTGTATATTTGACTTAGTATTTGTTACAGTCAATTTTGACTATAAAATTATTATTTACCTCAGCATTAAGTTATATGATCAAATTTTGACTTGCCTATTTTTCCATCTGGTTTGCCCGATTTATGTGATGGGATAGTGTAATTCTTAGTTAACAAACTCAACATATTAATTTGAGTGACAAATGAGATTTAGCAATCATTACATTCAACTTCTGTTGAGGAGCAAAATAATTAATAGTTTTCTTGAGTCTTGACTTTGGATGGGGTGGTGTTGAGGTAATGATTTCACCTCAGGGAATCCCAAGAGAACTTATTTACAAAAACTGAAAACCAGAAATCCCTTTCCTCAGTTTTATTCACCAAAAGAGTTGAAAATATTTTTTAAAAGGTTGTATTGATGCTTTTATAACCTGGAAGCTGATGTGCTATGATGTGCTCACTACTTTGGACTGTACTGGTCACCCAATGAAATTAGTATTTTGAGGGCAATGGATTGTACTGTACATTGTAAAATAAACAGTAAACAAAACTCCATATGGCGTAATGGTTAAAGTCTTTATCTGGCAACAGGGAGATCCAACTCCACTTTTGCTCATGAATGTTTGCTGGGTAATGTTGGCCTAAACTCTTTCTGTAAGCTCAACCTACTTAATGGGGTTGTTGCAAAGGAAAAATAAATGGGAGCAGGAAGGCTATGGATGCAGCCTTGAGCTTCTGAATAAAATACGGGATATAAGTATAATAAAAGAGAAGACTAAAAAGATTGTCGGTGGCATACAAGATATAGAGAAATATATGCTACAACGGTGTTACTTGTTATCTCCACTTTTCACTTTCTTGGTCACCATGTTATGAATAACTGATAGCTTTTTCTACTAAATTTTTTATTCCTTTAATTGAGTTAGATTATTCTGAGAGTGGTCAGAATGACTATTACTTAGCTAATATTTAATTTAACTAAAGTCCAGGAGAACAACTGTTCATTAAGCAATTGTTTCAATATCCAGAATTGGATATTGGGCTTTTAATTTTTTAAAAAAATATAATTTGCTCCTCAGAAATACTGAATACAGTAACATTTAAAAACTGGCATTGGCAATTAGTTTTGCTGAGAGTGTCACTCTTCTGTTCACTGTTTTTTTTAGTATATATAAAGACCAATTTCTTGTTAGTTTTTCCTCCTTTGTTCTAAAAGCACAAGACATTCTTTATCTATATGCACTTTGTGTAATTCTGCAAATCCCGATTAATGCTCAGAAGGAAATTCCATTCTGAAAGTTTTGATTTTCATAATCCCTGTAATATTCCCTGAAACACAAGAGATCTATTATCTTACACTGAAAGAGCTGTGATATTAAAGAACATAAAATTTACACTGCACTGCTGACTGTTTGTGGGCCATTGTTGTAAATTTTCTCAATGGCACAGATAGGAAGGTGCCTAGAAGAAAAAAGTTAGAAAAATAATATTGGCTATTTGCAATACCAAATTGTAAAGGAATATTTTTCTTTTGAAAATCAACAGGATTTGTTTTTAAATTTGCAAGACAGCTTTAATAGGCAAAAGCTAATCCATGCATGTTGATGACGATTCTCAGCCATCCTTGTAGAGTTGCCTGTAAGTTGAGACATGGCAACTGGAATACTTTTTCTTTTTGAATTGAAATGTTTTGCTGCTTATCCAATTCGTTTCTTCAGTCTGCAGTGAAGTCTAGTTGCCATGACTCTATACAGGTTTACTCAGTGAATTTTAATTAGGTTATTATACCATAATTAGGTCACTACAGGTATGATTTTCACTATGATCCCGTTTTTGAACTCCACATTACATTTTTCCTATAAAATGAGCTCATATATTCAGTTGCTAGTTACCAAACACACAACAATGAATTTAAATAAATCAAGTGATATACCTGCATATGTAAACCTAGGGTCAATTACAAAGTGATATGGATACATATATGACTAAGACTTGTGCAATAATTCCTAAATATAATATAGTTTTTGAACGGTTCTTGGCTCTAGAAATATTCTGAAATCAAATCATGAAACTCACAGGCTGACATGATATGGCTTCTGTCAACTCAACCTGACTCGCAAGAATATTGGAAAACAATTTAGTAATAAAAGAAAATATCCTCTCCACAAGTATCTGTTTCCACTGCAATGTCTTATTGCCATCTCCACTTGACAGCCTTCCTAATTTTAAAATCAGGTCACTCACCTGTTGAAAACTCAGTTGTCCAAGCAGTAAAACAAAGAAAAGTGTTATTAAATTTACTATATAGTTTCTTGAAGCAATTAATAAAGAACAATTTAAAAATGTTTCAGTGTCAGTTTTTATAACTATTGTGTCAGCATCTTACCCTTATCCAGGGAAACTTGATTTGTGTTACAGATATTTTGTATATTTTTTTCATCTAAAGCCGTATCAAGAGATGATGGAGACTGTTCAGTCATTATTGTATCTTGTATTGGTTCTGTTCTCTTTTCCAAACTTGGCATTTGGCATGACCTTTTTGTCCTAATGCTTGATTTTGTTATCTTTAAAAAAAGGGACATTTTCTGATGTTATATCAATTCAGTATAAAGTACATTAAGAAAAAGAGACAGAAAAAACTGAATTGGAAGTTTAATTAAAAGGCTAAATTTGGACAATGGTATCCAAGTGATATTTTATCTAGAGGTAAGCTTATACTATTGAGTGTCAGTAAGTCTTTTCAAAATAAACTGTACTTCTATCATTTTTAAAAAATAACAGCTAAATAAATAGTAAAATAGGAAATTTAAATTTCTATTACAAATATTATATTTCATTACCATATATAACAAAAAGAAGAAAATGTGAGGCTCAGCAGGACAAGGCGGGACTGTGTTGTCTTACTATACAGACTATAGCCCTAGCTCCATGAGTACTTGCATAACTTAATACAGGTAGTCTTTGATTTACAACAGTTTATTCAGTGACCGTTCAAAGTTACAACGGTACTAAAAAAAGTGACTTATGACCAATTTTCACACTTATGACTGTTGCAGCATCCCCATGGTCACATGACCAAAATTCAGATGCTTGGCAACTGGTTCATGTTTCTGATGGTTACAACCTTCTGACAAGCAAAGTCAATGGGGAAGCCAGATGCATTTAACAACCATGTTACTAATTTAACAACTGGAGTGATTCACTTAACAACGGTGGCAAGAAAGGTTATAAAATGGGAACAAAACCTACTTAACCAATGTTTAATTTAGCAACAGAAATGATGGGCTCAATTGTGATCATAACTCGAAGACTATCTACAGGATGTTTTCTGCAATAAGATTCAAAGTTTTACGTTTTGGGTTCTTGTCAGAGCAATAACTTATGCTACTGCTCTACCAATTGTTTGGTAGGTTAGGGAAGAACATGATGAATTGGACGATGAGATATTCGGCTTAGGAGAACTAAAGCTTCTCCCCAGTGATATTTTGCAAAGGGGAAATAACAATCTCAATCCCCTATGAAATAGTACCACAGAGAGGAAGTGGGGGAACGGGAAATATAAAGCTTCCTCCCCCAACAACATCAAAGCTGACATCAGCCAGAGCATAGAAGAACTCAAATATGTAGTGTTAAATCAGAAAACATGGAGAGACCTGGCCAATAGAACTGCCAAGAGTGGCACACCACTGGATAACTTCATCACCCTCAGAAACTCTAATCATAATTACAGATTTGAATCTTGTGATGGTGCAGTGAGTGGTTAGAATGCAGTACTGCAGACTAATTCTTCTGCCCGCTGCCAAGAATTCGATTCTGACCGGCACAAGGTTGACTCAGACTTCTATCCTTCTGAAGTCAGTAAAATGGAGACCCAGATTGTTGGGGGCAATATACTGACTTTGTAAACTGCCCAGAGAATGCTATAAAGCACTATGGGGCTGTATATAAGTAAGTGCTATTGCTATTTGCCTTAACAATGAAGACCATCATAATGACAGTGATGTGCTCAACGAAGTGAGTTGTGACAAGTCAGGTGGCTACGCAAGCAATTATGATGCAATTATACTTCCCAAGCCACTATATATAGAACAGATAGCTGAGAGCATCCATACTGGAGATGACCAATCTAATAAAGAAGATTCTATTTGCAACCATAAAACAGTTTTAATTCATTTCCCCAATCTGTCTCACCTTTATCTTGGATTAGATACTTGAAATGTGGTGAATTAGATATGGTTAACTACTGACTGACAAGTGATAAAAGTTTGTTCATGCTCCAGATTATGTTGACTTAATGATGCATATTTATATATAATACATGCATACATACACATAAGGGATATGTATTGTTATGACTTGGAATAATAATACTGTGAAATATTTGGGTATTGGTCTGATGTGTCTCTCCATTAATCCCAAAGAGGAGGTTATTTAAAAGTTGAATATTTCTTCCTTTCTTCTGGAACAGAATTATATTGTTTGGGGATAAAATCTCTTGCTGCCATTATTCAATATAGTTCAGTGAAGATAGCATCCCTAATATTAAGAGTTATAACAGCTATTCATGACTGTGAATTTCTTGACTGCTACCTAATCTGCCTGTCTAAACAGTGGAGAATCTCTACTCTCCCTCTATCAGAAAATGTTAAAACATTTACATTTCACTGAAATCAATAACCAATAAAAGTGATACACAGATGCCCTGTCACACAGGTAGCAAAAAATGTAGCAACATTTTTCACACTTCAATAATTATTAGGACAAACACTACAAACATGTGAAATTGGACAGAATACTGTTTTTATTAATATTAAAAACCATAGTCCTTTGTACTTTACATACAATAATTTTCAGTAAAAGATATAAAGTGTTTGTCTGTGTCTGCACATATGCAAATACATTTTTGCTTAGTGTTTAGCACTCTCAACACCCAGCAATAACTTCAATTTTTTTCCAAATGTTGATGGATCTTAATAGAAAGCATTACATTACAAGCACATGTTGCAATCTCTCTGTTGCACTTTTACATGGGTTAGATTATGAGAAATTGGAACTGTGCATTTTAAATTTGATCAGAAAAAAACATTGAAGGTTTGAATTCCTTTTTTCATTTCACTGCTGTCAAAATTACCAGTTGATATGCTTGGGAGGCTGGAAGGTAGACACAGAAATAAGAATATTCATGAAATGTAATACAGTAGTATGTGGGAAATACCTTGGGAGACAGGGCAAAGAGATACTGGGTATGGTCCATACCTTGGGTATGCTCAGATAAGAAACAGCATAGCCCACAGGTGAGTAGTGGTTAGGGCAAAAGGATTCAAAAGGACTGTCCTAAGTTCTCGGATGTAAAGATGATGGAGTGAGAATTGTATTTGTACACCTGTAAGATTCTGTTAATGTAGCTTTACAATAAAGTAGATTTAGTTTATCTGGTCGTATTTCCCGTCTGGTCTACCTGGTAAGGTTGACATCTACAGTGAGTCAAATATTTCTTACATAATGAATTCTCACTGTGAAAATTTGACAAGGTAAGAGAATGTCATAAAGACAATAGAAGACAAAGGTAGGAGCTGATCACTGAAGATTAGCTTTATGATGTCACCTGAAAGTAAAATCTGATTGACTGCATAACCCTGTGACATCACTATCCTGACTTAATACATGGACAGAACAATACTTTAGTTTAACACACAAGGCAGTTGTCAAAAGGCAATGAAAAGAAATCCCAGATAGTCCCTCTGCAAGATTATAATGAATGGTTCTGATAACATATGTTCCACATCTTTTAGCAATCTGCAATATAATCCATTTTCTCCTAAATTTCTGCAACTCCGAAACAGTCTCTCTTTGCACATTTGTTTAACATGCCTGAGAAAATAACAAAAAAAAAACAAAAAAAAAAACAGCCCTGTTGGTCATTCCTTATCCGAGAGTGCCCAAGTTTTTTTAATTCATTTATTCTATTTGTACAACTGCCCATCTCAACCAAGTGACTTTGTGTGGCTTATATAAAACCATAAAATAATTAAAAACAATAGAACCAGCCAGAAAATAAATACATTCAGCAGCCAAGATAGTTAAAAGATTGACAGTAAAGCCAAGAAACAGGATCCTTCACACATTACAAGGTCCAGGCCTGGGTATATGGCCACGTTTATAAAGCTTTGTGAAAAGTCAACAGGGTTGGGGCCATTCTAATCTCCAAGGGGAAAAATATTCCACTAAGCAGGGGCTTAGCCAAGGAGACCCTTCTTTTAGTTTCTACCATTTGACACTGTACTATGCCCAATCTGCTGGACTGAGTTGGGCAGGTAGAGACTCTAGGCCAGATGCGTCACGCACAGGCCACGCCCACCCCAGCTCCGCAAAGGGAAAAAACGTGAAACTTCATGTGACAGCAATGTGACGTTGCAAGTTTGACACATGTGTTCTAGGCCAAGCATAGTCTAAGACAGGAGGGGTCTCCAAACTTGGTAATTGTAAGACTTATGTACTTCAACTCCTAGAATTCTCCAGCAGCCAGGTCTAAGAGAAAGTACAGGCCTCAGCTGATCCTTTCTCCACAGGTCTACCATGTCTTCTCCTATCAGCTACTGCCAATCAACCAGCTGTTTCCTTTTGCCTTTCAGTTTCATTTACCACCAAAAACTATTAATCTGTACACTGAATGCTACCTCAGGATTTGGGCAAATGCCTCCAAATACCCAGTTGCAAGGATACCATCACAGGACAGGTGCAGTGAGTAGGGAGGAAGATCTTGAAGGAAACATGAAGTTCTGTTATTAAGGCAAAGCATATTTTAAGCCCATAACAGAGAGAAAGTAATAGCCAGCTCCCTAATTCAGTATAGAAAGTATACTTAGTATAAGGAGGAGTATGAGATCTAACACAATCAGACTGGCAAGATTTTGTAATAAAAGTAGTTTTAGGCTTCCTGTGGAGTTTATTTCTTGATCTACCTAGCAGAAATGACAGGTATATCTTTAACTCCTGCTTTCAAGCACCAGAGGCATCTGATTCATAAATATAACAAAATTTTGGAGTAAGGCTTCAGCCTGATTTACCTGGGCCATTCCTATGCTCCTTTCTGGAGCTCCACAATGACAAACAGCATTAAATTATAACTGCCCAGGATTTTCATTTTCTAAAAACACTGATGGGACTCATTTGTGACCAGAGGCATTTTTTTAAAAAATGAAGTGCTGGTGTTTTGTTTTGCAATATGTGAGCCTCTATTGTTCCTGATCAGATGTTTTTAAGATATATGAAGCCTCATACATGTTGAAAGCAACATCTGGGGACACACTAGCATCTTTGGATGTGGTACTGAGGACCTCAAACTTCATTACACTACCAATTATGATAGATGGCCAAATCACAGACTAATGATGGGTACCTTAGAGAGATTATGTACCACAAAGCAGCCTGCCACACTTTTTCCAAGGGAGGAAAGGGTGGCATCAATTATGTTTTGTTTTTCTGTTTTAATTTTGATTTCTGGGTAAGAATGGAAGTGGGAGGCCTATGGGAAGAAAACCGCTCCCATTCCTACCATTAATCCCCTATATATTCTGAATTTTTTTTCTGGTTTAGGAAGGCAAGTGAGGGTTGGAATGGGAAGGATTTGTTTTTCATAGGCTTTCTGTTCATGGGTAGTTCTTGAGTTAACAACCATTCACTTAGTGATCATTTGAAGTTAATGGAATGGAAGTTGAATGAAATGGGAAAAAAATGACTTACAACTAGTCCTCAAACTTCCAACCACAATAGTATCCCCATGGTCACATGATCAACAACATCCCCACGGTAATGTGATCCCAGCCACCTTACGGCAAGCAAAAGCAATGAGGGAAACTGCATTGCTTAACAACCCTCTGAATTTACTGCAACTGCAATTATTCACTGAATAACCATTGCAAAAAGGTTGTAAAATTGGGCATGACTCAATTAACCACCGCTCCGTTTAACAACAGAAATTCTGGTCCCAATTGTGGTTGTAAGTTGAAGACTACTGTATTTTAGGCAGTAGTGGGTTTCAATTTAGTCTGCAACCGGTTTGCTTGTGCGTGCTTGCGCGCGACGCTTCTGCGTCCAGGTGGGTGGGCAGAGCCTCCCGCCACCGCTGCTACCAGTTCGCCCGATCTGGGGCAAACCAATAGTAACCCACAACTGATTTTAGGTCTTAATTTGGGGGGGGGGAAACATATAGTATTGCCACTAAAACATTTGTTCTTAAGAATCTTACCTCCCCAGATGCCCTTGTTGTGACCCTTCGGCCTGAGAGAGGAGGTGGCCCAAGGACTTTAGATCCAAATGCAATGTGGGATATATCTTGACTTTTACTGTTACGTATAGTAGCTGATGCTCGGGTTGTTGGAGGATCTATTAAATAGCAAAATAGATAATTTAAAGTTAAATACTTTGAACAATGATAAATAGTAGTTAATACATTTTTAACAAGTCAAAGCACAAGTACTACCACAAATATTCATCCTAGCTAGACAATGCAAATAGAAAATGTACCAATGAACTCCAGCTTACACAATATTCCTACAATTTCGAAATTATTTTATGTGGAATACTAATATGCAAAATTGATTGTAAGATGAATGGCCGTACATATTTGTACAATAAATATGTAAGTAGCTATCCTGAAATCATTCTCATGTAGTTTATATTTGGTAGCAATCCTTACAACATGGGTGATGTCACCTCAATATAATAGCAAAGACACTATTGATAAGTTTATCAGCCAGAAATTTGTATACTAAGTAGAAAAAGTGGCCTTGCTGAATGAATATGTATCTACCTAGTCTTTTTCAAAACATATTTCTCTGGTAATTCTCTTTATTGCATAAACAAATAAACAAATAATAACAGATACTAAAATCTGTTCCAACTTCCAACTCTGAGACTCACTGTATTTGAAGGAACAAAAAATGTTTCACTGAGAATGTGATTTTATTTCATTAACATAGCTGGGGTTGAATTAATAGACCAGATCTTTTTGTAGTGCTGGAAACAGAGAACTTTACAGTAGTATGCTTTAAAACTGTCTCAGTTTCATTGCTCGATATGCATTCCTATATTTTTTCAGTTATTAAATATACAGTTTGATAGTATTAGGCTTCTGAATCATTCATTTTGCATTTTTTCTAAAAAAAACCTCTATTTGGTTTAGTTTTGGTTACATAAGATTTTTTAAGATTATACTTGTCACGTCACACGTTTATATTGTGCTGAGAATCATGTCCTACTTAGTCAAAACCATTTGCCTAGTTTTTCTTAATAAAAAAAAAAAAAAGGGAATTGCAAGCTGTAATACAGGACCTCCTTTTTGCTCTAAGCCTCCATAATATAGCAGTCTATTCTGATGCTTTTCACTGGCCTCTATTGGCTAGCATTTCCTGGACCCTGAGCTGTTTTCCACTGTTGACATTTCTTTCAAAGGAGATTTTCAGAGAAATTCTTGAGGGTGAAGTGTGGTATTTTTGCACTCATTTAATTAGAAGGCAACCAAACGCTATACACCATGAATGTCCTTTCCTTCACCATGTATTTATGTATTTGAGTCATATTCCATATTTCTGCCCATGAGGTAAGTATGATCATTTTTCTAATGGTCTACAATCTTTCTACTTTCTTTGGTTTCAATTTTATCCCAAGAAAAAGACTTCAGGAACACTTTCCATTTTCACTTTCCATTTTCAGAGTGGAACGTGGCATTCAGGAAGGCTTTAGAATAATCAGCAGTAGCCAGTTCCCTCATGTCTAATAATTACATTCAAAGAGAAATTTAAAAGAAATTACTAATTTCTCTGAAAATAAAGTAGAAAAATAGAAGCATCTTTCCCTGGAAAAGAAAATTGTGAGAAGCTGAAAGATAGGTTTTGGCACAATATTTTTTCTACCAACTCTGCTTGTATTCTTTACTGTGTGTAAAGAGTGCCTAGATTAGAATTAGAGAACAATTATGCTATAGCAGCATAAATTTGGAAGATGTTTTCCTGCATTAAACCACATTTGTTTTCATTCTGAATCTAGTGAAAATAAAACAGATCAGGCAAAAATATTTTTTTTAAAAAGTGCTAGAATATTCCCAGGCTTGATCATTTCCTTGCATTTTTTGTTCTTTACCCCAATATTCAGGATTTTAAAGTCTTTATCATACAGATAGTAATTAATGGGAAATATCAATATATATAAGTCTTTTCTAACAACTATATTTAGGTAAAAATTGAGGGAAATGGTAAAAAAATGGTAAATGAGAGCCAGCTTGGTCTAATGGTTAAGGCATCAGACTACAATAGCACAGAGAAAAAAAAGGAAGCCTTACCAAAAATAATGAAAAGGTTATAGATAAGCATCCAAATGATGCAGCAGAAGGAGATAAGGGGTAAGGTAGAGGGAACCTTCAGATTATGTAAAAATGCTAGAAAAAAAATATAGGATACCAAGAGAGAAATATAAAAGAATTACCAAAAAGTCAATAAATGATGAAATTCAAAAAAGACTGAGAGATGATGGATAGAGATACAATATTTTGTAATATTGAAATGGAATGATATTAAAAATTAGTAGAAACAAATAGAAATATAATTTAGGAAAATAGTAACACATATATAGATATATAATAGAATCTATTGATATATCGGGAATTTGGTGGAATTTGAGTAATATTTAAAATATAAAATATTGGTGATCTAATAGGGGTCAATAAACACATTGTAAGACATGTAATTGATGTTGAAATATATCTTTGGAGAAAGCGATAAAGAATCATTAAGAGAGAATAGTACTGTTTAAAGATAAAGAGATGAATATGGAAGAACCCCAATAAGGGGAGGGAGTATAAATTGGGAAAATAGTATTATACATATTGATATATAAAAGAATATTTTATAATTATAATGAGTTTATTAAGATTAGAAGTTGGAAGACAAAAAGTATGTATATCTAATTGTATTATTATTATTAAAGATAAAGGTAAAGGTTCCCCTCGCACCTATGTGCTAGTCGTTACTGAATCTATGGGGCGGTGCTCAGCTCCGTTTCAAAGCCGAAGAGCCAGCACTGTCCGAAGATGTCTCCATGGTCATGTGGCAAGCATGACTAAACACCAAAGGCGCACGGAACGCTGTTACCTTCACACCAAAGATGGTCTCTATTTTTCTACTTGCATTTTTTACATGCTTTCAAACTGCTAGGTTGGCAGAAGCCAGGACAAGTAATGGGAGCTCATCCAGTTAACTAGGGATTCGAACCGCTGAACTGCTGACCTTTCGATTGACAAGCTCAGCATCTTAGCCATTGAACCACCACGTCCCCTTTATTATTATTATTATTGTTAGCACTGTGTAAAAATGTATAGACCCAGTCATTACACTGTCCACAAAATATGTTGGTTGTTAAAGGAAAACTGCAAATAAACATATAAAAAAGGCATCAAGCTAGAAACCAGGTGACTGTGAGTTAGGTAACATTGGGTGTCCCTCCTCCCCAAGTCATTTCACAGGGTTGTTGTGGCAGAAATAGGTGGAAGGAGTATTAGATGTTTGCCACCTTGAGTTATATATTAAAAATTATTTAAAAATGTGGGCTCTTGAGTTTAACTGGAGTATTAAAATGGAAAAGATGAAAAATGGAATTTCAAAATAAATTGAAGCTTAAAATTATCAAAGCACTCGTTTCTAGAAAGGTCTGGTTTGAGGTCTCTGAAAGGAAGCAAATGGCATAAGAATTCATCTCTTATTCATACTGCCAGATTAAAAATAAAGATTAAACTCTAAAGCTCAAGGCATTCATTTTCTTTAGTTAACAAGAATTTAAAAAGTGACAGAGCTCAGGGTCATAGCCACTAATTATTTTACCACTTTACCAACCAAACCTAAAGTTGTGCTAATTTAAATGCTGTTAAAAAAGGATTTGTTTTGTTTTGCTTTAACATTCTCATAATTTGGGCTTCCGGCGTGAATCATGATTGATTGAAAATGTCTATGCAAATGAGCGGAGACGACTGAATGCAAGACTGGCAAGTAGACCAGTCCCTCAAACTTCTCCAGAGAAGGTGACATCAGGAGATTGCCCAAGAGTGCTTTGAAGCTGCTCATGGGAGCCTGTAAAATAATGGTCTCCTGTGGGTTTGAGTTTCAGGAGCCAAAGGAGATGATATCTTTGCTCTCCGCAGGGACGGAACCTTCCATAAGGGCACTAAGCCAGTCGAACTCTTTTGTTTTAATCCAATCACTTTTGGAAATGTTCAATTTAAGCAGTATATTTGAGGCCGTCAAAACAATACATTCAATTTAACACTTGGTGAGTTTTACTTTCTTCATTTTTAAGTAGATACTCAAGAATTTAAAATAATATAAGATTGGGGGAAAGCATAAAGAGAGAGGGAGAGAGAGGAGGAGGGAGGGAGAGGAGGGGAGGGAGAGGGAGGGAGAGAGAGAGAGAGAGAGGGAGGGAGGGAGGGAGGGAGAGAGAGAGAGAGAGAGAGAGAGAGAGAGAGAGAGAGAGAGAGAGAGAGAGAGAGAGAGAGAGAGAGAGAGAGAGAGAGAGAGAGAGAGAGAGAGAGAGAGAGAGAGAGAGAGAGAGAGAGGGGATTTTGATTTAAGAGAGTGTTCTGACCTAGGCTTCCTGAGTCAGTAAAACACACAAGTAGTCCCAAAAACCTCTTTTATTGCAACAGCTGTGAATTCTGTTCATTCACAGATGAGTCCCAAATAGTTGTAAAGAGTCCTTCAGGATAAGGCTGATAATCACCCATCTTTATCTCCCTTGACACGCTGCATAATGTTTGAAATGAATTAAATATATAAATAAATTCATAATTTTGTAAGAAAACTACTTGGGTATGTCCATGTGATCACAAGGAGTCATGCTTGTTTAAACAAGTATTTTTTAAAAATAAATGATTTGATTGTGATATTAGATAAACATTTATCTTGCTATCATAGTTGCATAGTTTTGTATTAAAGCACATCCACTAAAGCACATTTAAATGGAATCACTAGGTAATTTTATATCAGTATTAAAAATGCTAATAGTGGTATTACATGTTTTCAAGGAATCCATGCCAACACACTTGTAATCATCTTGACTACTTTTCTTCTCTACATTATGCCATGCATCATTTGTTCTTGAACTTTAAAATAAATTGCATTGAAATTCCTAGAAATACAGTACCTGGATTTTTATTCAAATTACAAAATAAAATGTTTCACAAAATTAAAGTTGAATCGGTTATCATATAGAGGATGAAATAAAATTTAAAAAATAATTATACTATTAACTGGCAATCCAAAATTAAATGAACTCTTACCCCTTTTCCCAATTACATTAGATACAGAAGGAGTTTCATAATATTCTAAATTAAATTAATTCCCTTTTTTAATTTTGTTGCAATTCTTAATAATATTTTGGTGTATGGTTTCATAGGCAAAGATTTTTTTTTTTGGAACGAAGTATCTTGATGGAAAAGCACACATTTTTCAAATTTTGTTTTGTTTTAAAAGAAAGCAAAAGGTAATGTGGAATTATTCAGTTTTTCAAAGGATATATTCCTAAGGAAATTTGGTTTTAATAATCTTATGCTCTGCTGGAAACTGTTTCCAAATCAGTCCAACAGCAGCAATTCTCCATTCAGAATCCTCCAATGTCAACTTTAACCTGTTCCATCCCAACAGCATTCTATGTTGCCTTTCCTGACTGAACCTCTCATAAGATTATTCATATAGAGCACGGGTGTCAAACTCGTGGCGTGACGTTGCTGTCACATGACGTTTTTCCCATTCACGGAACTGGGAAGGGTGTGGCCTGTCCGTGACGTACCCAGTCCGTGGGCCGCCAGTTTGATACCCCTGATTTAGAGGCACAATCTTGCAATAGCCTCATTTTTATATAAGAGCCATAGCAATACCATAAGAACATGCTTTATGAAACAATTTATTGGCAGGTAATTACATCTGTCTCTTTCTCAAAAGCAATGCCAAACTTCACACTATGCCATTTCCAAGAAATGGATTCTAAATTCAGACTGAAAGATGACACAGTGAGGTCCTGATAATTTGGGAACCAGATACAGGGACAACTAACAATTTTATATTCCTATTCACCCTACTAGTGAAGTTGACAAAGAGGAAAAGGTTTACAAGTAGTCCTTGTTTAATGATTGCCTTGGACAGAGATCACAAATACTATGGTAATAAATGGTAATAAAAAAACATTTTCTGTGGGCATTTATGACAACAAAAGTCTTCAGTGTGAAACTGATTAAAGTCTGGTAAGTTTCAGGGAGCAGCTGCCAGCCAGCCCAAGGTTTCTAATCAATTAATGAAGCTCGCAGAGCTGAGCTTATTCAGTTGGACTTTTTAAAGAAGCGCTGTGCTCTGGAGAGAAGCAGCTCAGGAGGAGATAGCTTGTTTAGGAGATCTCTCCACTCTATCTGGGGGCAAAAAAGGGGAAAAATTGTCAGTCACAGAATACTTCATGAGGAAACTTTATCTGAATGAGAAGGCAACAGCCAATGATCTTCACAGCATTTCTCTCTCACTCACCTGCTTATTTAGTGATCATGTTGTTAAAGACCGAGTTGCCAGAACTAATGGAAATCACAAAATAAGGACAACCTATACTTATTTCTATAAACCCATTCATTGCTCACGTATGTGAATGGCTATCATTTATTTATAGAGAGATAGTCCAGTAGGCCCACTTGAAATCAATGTTCTACACAGGAGGTAATGTATTAAATCCGTCCATCCATCCACTCCCATTTTTAAAGAGGAATATAGGCCATTTAGGAAAAGGAATATTTGGGCTACTTACAAAAGTCATTTCTTTAGATTGTCCCAAAGGCACTTTTTCAGAAGGCAACTGAACTTTCTTGTTTTTTCTTTGAAGACATTTCACTTCTCATCCAAGAAGCTTCTTCAGCTCTGACAGGATAGTGGGGAATGGAAGGATTTATATTCCTTGCAGGCAGCTGGTCTTGCATGAACAGATTTCCAGAGAAAAAAAATTGCAGACTACAGGAACCAGGAGCACTACTCAGGTGATTCTGAGGACACAGATAAACCTCCAAATGCTTCAACGAACTTCTAAAAGGATGCAAATGACCAGCAGTCTGCAAGGAATATAAATCCTTCCATTCCTCACCATCCTTCCATTCCTCACCATCCAGCTGAAGAAGCTTCTTGGATGAGAAGCGAAACGTCTTCAAGGAAAACATAAGAAAGTCCAGTTGCCTCCTGAAAAAGCACCTTTGGGACAACCATGACCTGAATGACTGAGAATCTCTATAGATAATTTCTTTAGATTGATTTTATTTATACTTACCTTGTATAAGCACTTAAGACAACTATAATTTTTAAAAAATCAGACTATAAAAGTTAAAACCATTAGTAAAACTAGCAATAAATATTATAGATTCTGAGACCGGACGATATGCATATGATGAATGGGTTAAACACAGTTCTTGTTTCTTGAATAATTCACAATATTTGGGTTTCTACAAAAGCTATGTGAAAACAAACATGACATGTTATAGCTTAATACTATGTGTGAATATAGGTAATGTCACCTGAATAAAAGTCCTTGGCCCAAGTAGATATAATAAAGAAACATTAATCACAAAGAGTACCTAATTCTGGTGAATTTAAAGGTCGGCCTCTACATTTTTGTTCTGTTTGGCGCAGCTTCTTCATGTTCAGCAGCTGTGTGATTTGCGGCACATCTGCATTTAACTGACAGGCTCGAGGAATCGTATCTCTTGGCCCATCAGCTGTAACAGAAGATTAATACAATCTGAGTAAACTATAGAAAAGACTTCACCTTCTCATTCTGACTATCTGAACAAAGAATCAAAACTAATGACAGAATCAGTGTGTAGTGGAGATACTAGAACTCTGTTTTAGTTCCTCTATTTATATAATGAGAAGAACCTCTCAGCGGTCTCAGGAATCAGAAAGCAAAGAAAAAAAAAGTCCACACATCTGTTCAATTTCAGTACCTTTTGAAGCCATTATTTCTTCTGGATGAGACTCATTATTTATAGATTAGAAATTAGCAGCACCAGACATCATCTTTACTTTACCTGAACAGAAGGGTTTAGTTGTTAAATGATGTGCCACAGCTCCCAACATCAAAAAGGATATGGAGATGGAGACCATTATATCTCCATCTTAATTCTTTCTTGCCAATAAAAACATTTTGATGTTAATTTTTTTAAAAATCAGGGAGGTTCATGTGAAGAACCTGATGCACTAAATAAGTTTTGGGATGAATGCATAGGGATGAGGGTGAGAGGAAAGTTTCTAGCTAAAGGGAAATAATTTGTGTGTATCTATCTATCTATCTATCTATCTATCTATCTATCTATCTATCTATCATTTATCTATCTCATAATTGCATATGAAATTATGATCCATAATTTTCTAGAACAATCTCTTTCTGTGCCTGAAGGGAAAAGTTTTCGATCAGTGTGTGCTGCCTGCTGTCAACCATGAAGTAAACCTGGCTGAGGCCATCTTGGAGGCTTCAGTGTTGCCACAAAGCAGAAGAAGGGACAGGGAGGGGAGAAATACCTAGATGGGGTTTTGTAGACAAAACAAAAGAGTTTTCCTGTGGGAACCAAGGACATTCTAACAGGTGGCTGGCCAGAGATGGAGTGAAGTAACCAAGCAACCAGCCAGCACCTTGATTGGACAGTGTGACTGTGACTTGGGGGAAAAGGGGAAACTTTCTTTTTAATTAGGTGAAAGCCACGGGAACTTTTAGAGTCTTTAGAACTCTTAGAGAACTTTCACCAGTTGTGCCAATAAATTGTTCTTTGAGGAACTTGCCTGCCTCAGAGTTCTGCTTTCTATGGGTGCATTACTTGGAACGCTGACACCTGCTCTAACATATACCAGTGAAACATGAACACTAACCTCACAATCGATACAAAAGCTATGAGTAAGAGCCATGGAACGATACATGCTCGCCATTACAAGACAAGATAGAAAGTCCTGAACATGGCTTAGAGAACAAACAAAAGTATACAGTATGTTCAAGAGAGTAAAAGAATTGAAATGGAAATGGGCTGGCAAGAAGAACTGATGGCAGATGGACCAAGGCAGTCATAGAATGGATATCACTTGATAACTGCTTCAAAACCTGTCTAATATAGCTAACTGTTAAGAGAGTAAACAGGATAAAACTGTTGTGGGGGGAACAAGCTGTAGGAGCATAAATATATAAGGCTACACAAAATTTCAAATTCAAGGCAATTTGATCAAATCATCCTTTCAATCTGAAACTTTCAATTTATTCAGGGCATCAAATCAAATCAGACTCTTCTGAATCCGTGCTGAGATTAAATGGACTTTTATACCTGCAAACAAACTTTTTAATGAAGTCAAATAAATTATCTGAACTGATGATTCAAACTGAAAATTCAAATAAATTCAACTCACAGAAATGCAAATCCAAACCTGATCTTTAATAATTCACATACTCCAAGTGTTAATATGATTATACTGATACATTAATTTTTTTTCCTTTTTGATAGAATCAAAATTACACTTCAGCAATGAATTTTAGAGGGCAATGCCCCTGGCCTTGGGAGGTTGCATTGGCTATGAAGTCACATACTGTGCACTGTGGGAACAGATAATTAATTTCTACCTTGTTAGAATGGTTGGTCAAGACAATGATCTTAATTTTTTCAGTTGTATAAACCTACAACTAGTCACCAGCTGTGTGTCCTTTCCAGAAATCCTAATTGTATATGCATGATTGCTTTTAGCCCCTCTTAAAATAATTTATGTGTGCAGATAAGAATTAATTAGATTTCAGGGTAGTAGAATTTCGCAATTAAAAAGACTCAGCAATTAACTGGTCTCACAATTTAGATTGTGCAGATTGTTCTGTGATCTCTAAAGCAGTTATGCTATCCATGAAGCTCCTCTTGTAAGTTCAGAGAGGTCAATATACTTGAGTACTCAAATACTTCTGCTCTGGGTTGCAACTATGTTGTTCCATTTATTGAAGTGAAAAACATTCATTGCAGTTCCTTTTAATATCCGAATGAACCCAATACCTTTAGCATTAAAATTATATGAAGTCTTTGTTCTTTGCTCACTGAATCTAATCCACACAATTAAATAGTACAATCTGCTTCCTCTACAAAGAATATTTTTAAGCATATAGGAGTTTGTCTTGACCCTGAAAATCCAGTCTGCTAGACATTCATGGTATTTGACAAGCCTAGAGGAATGCTGATTATCAGTAATGGAGAAGAACATTATTGCAAAGAACAAAGAATTGGTTCATGTTATTGTACACAATAGGTTACATTAGGGAAAAAAAACCCAAGAGAACCCCTGAATGGAAAAAGGGGAAGACTCTAGGAGGAGTCTGCCAATCAGTGCCCCCAGTTCGGTCCAGTTCGCAAGAACTGGTAGTAAAACCGGTGGGAGGCCCCACCCACTGCCCCGGATGTCGTCATCGGCAATCTGCGCATGCGCAGAAGTGATCCCATTGTGAACCGGTAGTAAAGGTAAGTGGAACCCATCCCTGCTGCCAATCATTTTATATCAGAAAGCAAATCAATGTCCTAGTTTAATAAGAAGTGGAAAAGCTAAAACAAATGAGGATACAGCTTAATCTCCAGAAAAATATTCAAAGAGATTTACAGTAAGAAATTGACTTATCCACTAGATTCCCAATTCTGTGTCTCACCCCAAGTCTCAGCCTCATTGCTCTAATCCCTATTAAAATGAATAGAAAGTTTCTGACTTTCGGGTGAAATAATTAGCCTCTATTGCTTTATGAAGGAGACAAAATTTCTGTTCATCGCTTTTGTAAAAATAACCAAGCACAATTACACTTTCCTCTGCAATTCCTCTTCTGTATGAATGCTCAAGACAGACCAGGCTAGTTTTTTTCACTAAAACTAAGATATGCTTCCTTAGTTTATATACATATTTCTCCTGCTTATCCAAAAAGATGAAATTGTATCTTCACCACTTTGCTTCCTGGAGAAAATGGGTATCAGTTCACAATTCCTGGTCTGAGGGAGAGGCAGTATCGGTACTGTATCGAAAAGAAAACAGATATACTGTCTTAGATAGCTGAAGACTATTACCTGAGAGTGTCTCAGGTAATGGTGCTGGAAGATAAGAGAGAAATACAACTCCTAAAGTGGTCACAGTCCTTATACCTCATGGACTTGAGATGAAATAATAACAGCTGTCAAGATGCTCTTTTAAGAGGAAGCATGCAAAAGAGAAGCCGAGCATCCATACTTCCCATAACGTCTCCTTACAACGATACATATAAGAAGCAGATCAGAATGGCCAAATAAATAGTTTAAAAGGTTCTCTGGAATTTGGAGGACTCTGGTGGAAAAAAATAGAGGTGGACGGATGGATGCCAAACCTTGCTTAATGGGGCCTGAGATGCTACCCTAAGGAAGCACTCTTGCATAAATCCCAATAAAGCAGGAAGTGTTATATTAAAGCAAGGTCATGCTATAACATTTAATGAGTCTTAGATAATTAGCGATTGATGCGAATGAAGAAAACCAAGTTCATTAGGTCAGGCCAATGCGTAACAGAATTCTGCTCTATGCAAAAATATGTATTAAACTGTTCATCTCTACAGCAACTCTAGAGCAAAGACCAAGTAAAATAATACTGGCTCAGCTAGACTTCAATTACAGCTGCCTTGTTCCCTTCCATTTTGAAGGGCCATAGAACTTGGAATGGCTGTTGTGGCCCGCCAGCGGCCTGCGCGGATCGTGGCTGATCCTGATGAGGAGGTTGGTGTGGTGTTGCGCCAACAGCCGGCGCAGCCGGCGCTCGCATCAGACAGCGAGGAGGCTGAAGAGGATGTGGTGCCAGAGGCAGAGACTCAGCCAGGGCCTTCAGAACCTCCAGAGGCTCCTTCAAGTGGAGAGAGCGAAGTGGAGGAGCCTCTTGTCAATGCTCGAGCACGCAGGGCTGCCAAAAGGCAGGAGTGGCTACTCAGGAAGAGGAGGTCTCCTTGAGAGTAAGGCTTGAGGATAATTGGCCACTCCCTTAGCCTATTTAAGTCACACGCCGTTAGTAAGTTTCTTGCTAGAAATAACTTGTAATTATCAACAGAGCATTTTTGGAAAAGTCTTATCTTGCTTTCTGGGCTGGTTGCCAACCTTTGCCGGACTTTGATTTATTCTTGCTACTTAATAAATTTGATAAGGACTGTTGGTGTGTGTCTATATCCTCGGGAATCCAGAGCTGGGGCAGAACAATGGCTTCTTCGTTATTTTTTATACATTATGTTTGCAATCTACCCAATAATGAAAGTCCTCTGGGAAGATGACTAACTTACTGTCTTAACATAACCTTGATTATGAAGTAACATTGGTAAGATTAAAAAAAAAAGGAAATCTAAGGCAAAACATGGGTCACATGTATTAGACTCTCAAAGGTAGAAAGTCTCATAACTCTAAGGGTTTGTGACCGATCTGCCAGGCAGTCCTTACTTAACCTAACAATAAGAAACATTTATAATTCTATGTCCCATACAGCATATCATCGGCATGATTGGGAGCCACCCAAAGTTTGGTATAAGATGGGCTGCTACATACAGTAAATGTTTTAAATACATAAATAAAAACAAAAAAATACAAAGGAAATGCCAACTTCCACGTCAGGCAGGCTGACTAGAAAGCAATGCCACCTAATTCAATCTCATTGAAGGGCCATGGTGGCATAATGGTTAGAATGCAGTAGGCTACTAAAGGCTACTTCTGCTGACTGCCAGCTGACTGCAATTTGGCAGTTCGAATCTCACCAGGCTCAAGATTGACTTAGCCTTCCATCCTTCCGAGGTGGGTAAAATGAGCTTACAGAGGGCTGTAAAGCACTGTGAAGCGGCATATAAGTCTAAGCGTTATTACTATTGCTGATCGTCACTTTTCTACAGACCCTTCAACAAACACTTCAATATCACAGATTATTCCAGACTGACATATAACCGATTAAGCAGGTAAGGCTGGCAAAGGTGGACTGTGCAAAGGCTACAGCTCTGCAAAACAAATTGCCAATCCTTGAAAACCACAGCCATACACATTTAAATCAGACCTAGAGAGAATAAATGCACAATTAAAATGCTATCTCCATGGCAACATATTTTCCTTTAAGAACCAATATTGATAAATTTGGATCAGAGTGCAGGAATTTAGTCCAGGAAGAAAAAAACAAGAAAGGGGTCCTTGGTGCTTTCTTAGTTTGGTTTTTTCTTGCAACCTTAGCTAGATAACACCAGTGCTTCAAATATTCTCTTTTATCGGAAAAAAGAACAATAATAACAATCTGTTTAGATCATAATAACATCTTCTAAAACTTTATCTTTTTCCTCTGATAAACTATAGGTAGTGCTCGACTTACGACCACAATTGAGTCAAGAGTTTATGTTGCTGAGAAATTTGTTAAGTTAATCTTGCCCCATTTTATGACTTTTCTTGCCACATTTGTTAAGTGAACCACTGCAGTTAAATTAGTAACACGGTTGTTAAGTGAATCTCACTTCCCCATTGACTTTGTTTGTCAGAATGTTACAAAAAGATGATCACATCATGACCCCAGGACACTGCAACTGCCATAAATATGAACCAGTTATCAAGCATCTGAATCAGTGGTGGGTTCCTCCTGGTTCCGCTGAGCCAGTAGCGGTGACGATATGATGTCACTGAACCGGTTCTGCCCCCCGCCCCCCCTGCATTATTCTTACCTTTTATTTGGCCCCACCCCCAATCTATTGCTGCCTCCTGAGTCCCAGCTGATCGGCTAGAGGGGAAAAAACTGTTTAAACTCTTGCTGCGGGGCTTCAAAGGGCCGCCCTACAGCTGATCAGTGTTAAAAGAAAACAAATGAGTAGACCGATGCCTACAAAAATAAATGAGTAGACCAGTGCCTGCAAAAATAAATGAGACGACCGGTACAGCTCTGCAAGCAGTTAAAAGCCTGGTAGACCAGTACCTCTGCTAAATCCTAAAGAATTGTCACATGACCATTAAGCCACACCCACAAAATAAGCCACGCCCACAGAACTAGTAGTAAAATATTTTAGAACCCACCCCTGATCTGAATGTAAATCATGTGACTATGGGGGATGCTGCAACGATCATAAGGGTGAAAAATGGTCTTTTTAATTATTGTTTCCTGGAACCTTTTATTACTTCCTTTTGTAGAGCACATTTGAAGATTGAAGTCTCTAGTCTGGGTAGAAAACAATGAAGTAGGGAAAGAATCAACTGGATGATATACCATTCAATTTTTGATAAGCAGAGCTGAAGGATTGGGAAAAAAATGTTTTTTTATTGTTTAGTCTAGGAAACGGTGTACAGTTCAAATAAAATATGCAGCTGATGAATAATAGGAATTCATGAATACACTTTATTAGGAAGATACTTAATGTGCAGTTTATCATCAACTCTCTTTTCCTTCCTCAAAAGTCCAATTTCCATAATGGCCAGATTTTACAAGGGAAGTCTTTGCACTTTCATTTTAGAAGCTGCCTTGAGAAAATGACATATCTCAGTAAAAAAAAAAAAAGCCCTTTGATAATTGAATAACAAGCTTTCTTTCAAAGTGTTTAATGAAACACTTACCTGAAGGTAGATTATTAGCAGTTTGTATGCTAATTTAAAGTTGAAACAGTATCTTCCGTGCAGTTTTAATAAAAGTGCTGCTTTATAAAAATGTAAATGCTGAACCACATTTGTAACCACATTTAGAAAAGGTCACTTACTATCCAACGAGTCAGAAACGTGCATAGGATGTCTTATGTACCCATTAATTGCCAGAAAATCATCTAAAACCCTTTGGATAATGCATCACAGAGATCAGAAAGATAAGCCTGGAATCAGGAAACACATCTTAGCCATCTGGAATCCCTGGAAGCCAAGCTTAACGTACCATCGTCATCTGCGGGGTTCAGGGGGTTTGACTTCAGTGTGAAGATTTTTCGCAGTTTACAGTTGGCTGAAACAATAATGCCATCCAAAGACTGAAAAACAGCGCCTTTGAATATCTCACTGGTAAATGCCACCAGGTCAATGCACAAATTGCACCACTAAGGAGAGGGGGGGGAAAAAAAAGTTTAGAGACATATTTGTAAAAACTAATTTTCAATAAAATACATTATTAAAAACCAATTGTATTTATTGCTTGGCTTACATGCCACTCCGGCCTCATCTAAATAGCCCAAAGGCATAGAGTTAGTAATGTAACAAGTTTGAGTTCACGCAAGCAAAAAAAGAGAGAATAAGTCATAATTTTGAAAATTGTCTCTCAAAATTTCCTGAACAATAAAAAAAAAAAAATTAGCTTCTTCGGTGCTGACATTTTTAATGGAGAATAGACAATCCGTGACTGTTGACTCACTGTTTCAGAGATATTTCCGTACATAAACAGAAAGACCACATGGGCAAAAATGTAGAGGGAGCAGTAACAGCTTTTTATTTTTTATTTTATTTTATTTTTTATTTTATTTTGAATTTGTATACCGCCCTTCTCCCTGAGGACTCAGGGCGGTGAACAGCCAAGTAAAAACATCAAATACAAATATTAAAATACAGTTAAAATATACATATATAAATTTGGCCCCATTAATTAAAAACAATAAACAAAACACTTAAAAACACTTAAAAAAATTAGGCCAGCCCGGCTTGCTGGAAAAGGAAGGTTTTAAGGGCACGGCGGAAGGCACCGAGGTCTTGGATTCTCCTTATCTCTGGAGGCAATTGATTCCAGAGGGTAGGTGCCCCCACAGAGAAGGCCCTCCCCCTGGGGGTCAACAGCCTGCACTGTTTGGCTGATGGCACCCCGAGGAGGCCCTCTCTGTGGGAGCGCACGGGTCGATGGGAGATCGTCGGTGGCAGCAAGCGGTCTCGAAGATAGCTAGGCCCTATGCCATGGAGCGCTTTAAAGGTGATAACCAACACCTTGAAGCGCACCCGGAAGACCACTGGGAGCCAGTGCAGCTCGCGCAGGAGCGGTGTTACATGGGAGCGCCAGGCTGCTCCCGTCACTACCCGCGCTGCTGCATTCTGGACCAGTTGGAGCCTCCGGGTGCTCCTCAAGGGGAGCCCCATGTAGAGAGCGTAGAGTAGTCAAGGCGAGAGGTGACGAGGGCATGAGTGATTGTGCACAGGGAATCCCGATCAAGAAAGGGCCGCAACTGGCGGATCAGGCGAACCTGACAAAAGGTCCCCCTGGTTACAGCCGTCAGATGTTCCTCCAAGGACAGCTGCCTATCCAGGAGGACTCCCAGATTGCGAGCCCTCTCTGTGGGGGCCAACGACTCGCCCCCAATAGTCAGTGATGGAGTCAACTGACTATATCGGGATGCCGGGAGCCACAGCCACTCAGTCTTGGAAGGGTTGAGCCTGAGCCTGTTCCTCCCCATCCAGATCCGCACAGCCTCCAGGCACTGGGACATCACTTCAAGGGCATCGTTGGGGTGGCCTGGGGTGGAGATGTACAGCTGGGTGTCATCAGCGTACTGGTGGTATCTCACCCCAAAGCCACGGATGATCTCGCCCAGCGGCTTCACATAAATGTTGAACAGGAGTTTGCCTAGACTGCGTAGGAAGATGTTTTGAGAACTGATAGCTTGTATGGACAAACCAGGTTTAAAGTCAGAACTCAGTCCTTCTCCATTAGGGCAAAATAACAGTGAGTCCAAGTTCTGATAGGGCCCTGGCATGGCATGTATAAATATGAAAAGCAATGGAATAAGGAACCCATTTGAAATTAAACTGATACCTGGCACACTAACTAGAACCAACAAGAAGCTCATTTCTTTTATTCATAGGAAGATCACATGTATTCTTTTCAGGTAGTCACAGCACCAGTGGTGAAATCTGAACTGGTTTACTACTGGTTCGCTGGCCGCGCATGCACGCCGTGTGCCAAACGCATGCTGCGTCTGTGCATGGGCAGTGCTGTGTGCGTGCATGTGCAGTGGGCACCAAATGCGAACTGTGCACATGCACACGCAGTGCGTGCCAAAAGGAGGTTTGGGAAGGTAAGTAGAACAGCGCGGGGTGTGTGTGTGATCAGCTGTGGCGTGTGATTGTGGGAACCTTTTTAAAAACTTTTTAAAAGCATTTTTTACTAGTGGCTCAGGTGAATAGGTAGTAAAAAATGCTTTAAAAAAGTAAAAAAAAAAAAAAAAAGGTTCCCGCGATTGTGCGGCATAGCTGTGATCGTCTGAGCCTTTTTTTCACTTTTGTAAAGCATTTTTTACTACCTATTCGCCTGAACCGGTAGTAACAAAATGCCTAAAAAGTAAAAAAAACCCAGTTCCAATGATCAGCTGAGCAACGCGCGATTGTTGGAACTTTTTTTAAATATATTTTTTACTACCGGCTCAGCGAATCAGTAGCATTTTTTACTATTGGTTCCGGCGAATTGGCCCAAACCGGTAGCATTTCACCCCTGCACAGTACCACAAATTTTGAAAACCCCAACATTGTATGTTTTTCTATTCCTGTACATCTCCACCCCGGACCACCCCAATGATGCCCTTGAAGTGATGTCCCGGTGCCTGGAGGCTGTACGGATCTGGATGGGGAGAAACAGACTCAGGCTCAACCCATCCAAGACCGAGTGGCTATGGTTTCCGACATCCCGATATAGTCAGTTGGTGCCATCACTGACTATTGGGGGCGAGTCGTTGGCCCCCACGGAGAGGGTCCGCAACTTGGGTGTCCTCCTGGACTCACAGCTGTCTTTAGAAGGGCATCTGACGGCTGTGGCCGGGAGGGCATTTTATCAGGTTCGCCTGATTCGCCAGTTGCGTCCCTTTCTGGATCGGGACTTGTTAAATATGGTTACTCATGCCCTCGTCACTTCCTGCCTGGACTACTGCAATGCTCTCTACATGGGGCTCCCCTTGAGGAGCACCCGGAGGCTCCAGCTGGTCCAGAATGCGGCCGCATGGGTGGTTATGGGAGCGACATGGCACTCTCATGTGACCCCCCCCTCCTGCGCGAGCTGCACTGGCTCCAAGTGGTCTTCCGGGTGCGCTTCAAGGTTTTGGTTACCACCTTTAGAGCACTCCATGGCCTAGGACCGGGGTACTTACGAGACCGCCTTCTGCCACCAGTAGCCTCTCACCGACAAGTACGCTCCCATAGAGAGGGGCTTCTTAGGGTGCCGTCGGCAAACAGTGTCGACTGGTGGCCCCCAGGGGGAGAGCCTTCTCTGTGGGAGCACCTGTCATCTGGAACGAGCTCCCCCTGGAGATACTGAGGATCACTGATCTGCGCGCTTTCCGCCGTGCCCTTAAAAGATTCCTATTCCAGCAGGCCGGCCTGGCCTAACCTCTTTTTAAAATTGTTTTTAAATTTTTTAAATTTTAAATCTGTCTTATAATTGGGGTTTTTAAATTTTGTTTTCTGGGCCAAATTATTTAATTGTATTTTAATGATTTTTTAACATTTGTATTATATATATTCTATCTTTTAGCTGTTCACCGCCCTGAGTCCTTCGGGAGTAGGGCAGTATATAAATTCAATCAAACAATCAATCAATCAATCAATCAATCAATCAATCAATCAATAAATAAATAAATATTTTTAAAAACTGGTTTCTGTAGCCAATCAACATACATTATAAGTTGCGGGGGATCAAAACTGAAACAATTAATTTAATGTGTTTCAGAAGTACATTCCAATCTATGTTAGACAAATAAAATATAACTTATAGTATGTACATTATAACTCACTGTATGATGTTTTATTCCACTGAGCATGTTTGCCCCCCATTATTAGTTTAATGAAACAAAAAAGAGTTCTAGTAGCAAAAATCAATACATTTCTTGGAGCATTTTGTTTATTTGTTCATTTCACCTTCCCCCTGGTTTTCAGAAACAAACTGTTAGGAGCATGGAAATTCATCTTCCTAGATCATTATTTATTATTGCTGTGGCTTTAAACCTCAACAGATTTCACTGGCTGGGACCAAAATCTATCAAAGGCAAGGATTAAGGTGCTTGCTTTTGATTTTGCTTTTCTGAGTACAAAAAGAAAACTGTTGTGAGTGAAATGAAGGGGACATGTTTATATTGTTTAGTAACATATAACACTAGAAGATAGGATTAATTCAGAACAAATTCTGCAGTAAAAATTAAACCCACATAGCGAAATTAATTCCTGACTTCTGACTGTAGAAAAGAGATGAAAAAATTAGACATTTTATTAATTTGATAACATTTCTAAGGGATGCATAAAACATACCAATTTCAAATTTAAAAACAACAACAAAGAACTATTCTTATTCCTGGATGTTTGGTTTTTTTTCCTTTAAGAAGAAAACAGTATCTCCAAATTACCTCTGCAAGAAAACATTGCATATGTAAATAGTCTGGGGGATTATATGACACACACATTCATATTTGATTTGCGTTTAAGGATATCCGAAAACATGGACGCCATCAACAAGGGATATGAAAATTAATGACATAATGCACCCAAGAGAAACTGACCACAGTGGAAGTGAAATTATAAGCCTGTTGTGGTCCCGTAGTAACGGTGCTGCTTAGCAACCAAGTTGCTGGTCCCAACTGCAGTCACTAAGTAAGTATTACCTCTTTTTACGATAGATTGCACGAATGAAAGGAAATGCATGCTTTCCAGGATATCTTAATTTTGTAAATTAAATCTGAAGCTTATTTCCCTATATACATGAATCTAAGAACTCTCTGTTGTTTCCTTACTTCCCTCCCCTCAAAAAATTTCAGACAGAAATCTGGAATCATTCTTAGAAACACACTAGTTCTAGTTGGAATTAATTGCCAGTGATGTTATTGCAGAGGTAACAAAATCATCTTATAGAACAAGGTCATTTCTCCTAATTCTCCTAATCTTTGGCATACCATCTTCGATGTTTTTTACTTAATTTCTATCGTATCTTTTTACTCAAATCAAGCAGTTAAGGTGCTATGCATATAGAATTAATAACATAGCATTATTGGAATGCTTGGCATGAAAATTGTGTTTTGGTTCTCATCCACTGAATAGGAATGGGAAGAACGAACAGCACCTAGAAAGTGTCAGTATGATTCATGATTGATCTCGTGTTCCACCAATCTACTTAATCTTCATGCCACAGAAGTGCCTAATGATGATCCAGTTTGTACTACATTGTGTGCATTGCTGTACAATTAATTCTGAAGAAATATGTGAAATTAACCAGAAAAACAATTTCTTGTAATCATGATATGCTGGATCGCTGGTAGGAACGACCAAATATTTAAGCACTGCAATAGAAAGTATTATTATTTATTTATTTATTTTTGTGTGTGTCACATTTCTAAGTAGAAGAGAATCACACAAGACAGTAATCATTTGAACAAGGAAGGAAATATACTTACAATTTTGCGCTTGATCATAAAGAGAGGGATTTTTGCATGCAGAGGGGTTACAGATAATTCTTTGTGGATCGTCGATAAATACAATCTTCTTTTAATATTTCCTAAATCAGTTATCCTGCAAGAGAAAAAATTGTGAGATGATAGAAATTGATCTCCATCAATTCAAAAACCTTTCTCTCTGGGCAGCCACAAAAAACCATCATTCACATGTAAAAGCTTTATATCAAGGATAGCAAATGGAGAAGTTAAATATTATCCTTCTACAAGATAAGTAATGAGATTTCTCTTTCAAATTCATAGTCGCTTCAAGCTGAATACATAAAATCACTTTACATGTTAATTTTATTTCAACACTACACACTCTTCACTTGATTTCCATAGCATTTCAAACTTACGAAAGAATTCAATTTACATGAATTGAGAAACCACAAGCCTTCAATAATCATGCTTTTCCCCCCAGCTCCCTTCAGCTTGTGTGATCTTGGAAAATTCTATCACATCTCTAAAAAGGAATATCGTTGTGTTTTCATTTTCTAAAAATGCATCTGTAATATCATATGGGCTTTGTTTAAAAACATATGCAAAACATTAACATGTCAGTTTCCTCTTCTGATCGCCTACCTCCAAATATCAAACCCACATGCTTACTGCTATTTAAGCTATTTAAGCCACACTGACCAAGCCACACCATGCCCAAACAAGCCACGCCCACAAAACTGGTAGTAAAAAAAATCAGATTCCACCACTGGGTTACAGTCACAAACAGTTTGGTCTCCTATATGCTATTTCCCATTTCCAAAAATTTCATACTAGCCAAGTTTCTAATTTCATAACTGAAAAGTTTTGTTCTACCAGAATGTAAAGTTTTAGACCTATAGGTTTATTCAGTTCCCTTTTCCATCAGGCAGGCTAGCAATTCCTATTGCTTGCTTTTTCCCTTTCTGATAAACAATTTTAGACAAGTCCTCAAAATCAGAATATTTTCCATTATTTTGGATATACTTAGATGACTGCAAGGAATATAAAACCTTCCATTTTCCACCATTCAGTCAGATCTGAAGAAGCTTCTTGGATGAGAATGTCTTCAGGGAAAAACAAAGTTCAATTGCCTTTTGAAAAAGCACCTTTGGGACAGCCATGATCGTGGCTCATTCAACCATGACTGAAAATCTCCATAGACAATCCTTTAAATAGGAGTGGGAGCCAATGTAGCCAATGAAGACTAAACATTCTCAAGCGCAATGGAATGTTGAGGGGGGAGAAAAGCAAAATGAAGCAAGTCAATGGAATAATTAGAATTATTTTTATGAAAAAGAATGTACATCAAAAACATGCCAATGAATCAATTCTTTTAAGGGACGAGAATAAGAAACCACCACACATTATTCATTCACATTCTTTCACAAGTTAAAACAAGCCAGTGTGGTCCAGTAGTTAAGGCACCAGGCAGGAAAATGGAAAACTTGTGAATTCAAGTCCAACCTTAGCCATGGATGCTTTGGGCCAGTCACTCTCTCTCTCTTAGCCCAATTCACCTCATAGGGTTGTTGTGGGAAAAATAGTAGGAGGAAGGTGTGTTGGATAGGTTCACTGCCTTGAGTTATTTGTAAAAAAAATAATAAAGGTGGGATACAAATGAATGAACATTTATTTTCTGCTATGGTGCATACCTAGTGAGGTTCATAAAATACAGAAAACAAAAACAGAATGTAAACAGTTGAAGACCTATCTTACAATTAACATTTAAAAGCCCAGCAAAAGAGATACATTTTTACAGCAAATATAGATGGGCCTTTTCCAGAGCTTTCTTTTGATGCCCTCCTTATTTATTTATTTATTTATTTATTTAAATTTCTATACCGCCCTTCTCCAGAATAGGACTCAGGGCGGTGAACAGCCAGAATAAAAAACAATACATACAAAATTTAAAAACAATTTAAAATAATTAAATATTATTGGCCGTAAATTCAAATAACCCAATTTAAAATCAATTTAAAATTAACTCAAGCCAGCCCCGCTATCAACTCTACTGGCAGGAAGATTTTATGGGAGTCCTTATTTGCACAAATTTTGGCCTTGTGGATCCACAAGGAAACTCTTGCTCATGTCCTCAGATGGTGTCCTTTTTTGAATGCCACAAGACGTTCTTTGATCTCCTCAATCATTTCCAAATATGAGTGCCAACACTAATCAATCGTATTACTTTTTAAGGGATGCTAACCCCACACTCATATATCAGGTGGCCAAAGATCTTCAAGTGCAAAACTTTCAGTTAGATATATTGTTTTATTATGCTATTGGTTTTTTTCTTTTCTCAATAATGAATTGTTGCATCGAACTATTTCTCATTTTTACTGTAAAGGCTGGTCAAAGACCGTAATAAAGAAATTTGATTTGATACAGATTAGTTAGCTGCTGAGACAAATGAGGAGCAAATGCAATTCTTGAGGGAATGCAGTCCATAATTTGTGAACAACATGAAAGAAAGCACTGCCCAATTTGCAAAAAAAGACAAGCATCTAACAAGGAGATATATGCTGATATTTATTTCAAGGATTTATATGGCGACCAGTTCATAACACTGCAATGCAATGCAATGCAATGCAATGCAATGCAATGCAATGCAATGCAATGCAATGCAATGCAATGCAATGCAATGCAATGCAATACAATACAATACAACCATGTATAATAAACAGAGAATTACAATAAAACAAAAAAGCAACAAAAACCATAGCAACTATGCAAAATTGGGGCACATCAACATGTACTATACAGGTAGTCGTTGACTTACAAGCATTTGTTTAGTAACCATTTGAAGTTACAACCGCACTGAAAAAAAGCGACCTATGATCATTTTTCAGACTTACAACTATTGCAGCATCCCCATGGTCACAGGATCAAAATTCAAATGCTTGGCAACTGGTTCATATTTATGACAGTTGCAGTGTCCCGGGGTCATGTGATCACTTTTTGCAACCTTCTGACAAGTATACTTAATGGAGAAGCCAGATTCACTTAATAACCATGTTACTAACTTAAGAACTGCAGTGATTCACTTAAAAACTGACAAGGTCATAAACCCTAACAACTGTATTACTTAGCAACAGAATGTTGGCCTCAATTGTGCTTGTAAGTCAAGGACTACCTGTACTGGCAGGACAGCTTACCAAACATCCAGACCCCAATTTCTTATTCAGAAGACTACTTCTTGGTAAGACCATTGATCAATCCAGAAAGATACCAACATCAATGATATCAGAAGCTGCCTGGCAGGGTCTCACTTCACAGTTTTTGCACTAGGTCATTCATCAAGGCAATGAAAGCAGCTTCAATACCATATGCCAGCTGAAATCTCAAAGGGAATGTATTCACATAATCACACCATTGAGATGTACCTGAAGCTCCAAGGCTAGCAGGCTCATGCTAATTTTCCCTCCCAGGAATGAAATCTGATTTTACAGTTTTCCTGAATCTTCATCAAAGGTCTTACTACATGTAGGGAGGACTAGGGAGCCTCATTTCTTTTGCAATGAAACATGTTCATCTCCATTAACCTGGCAGACTTGATGTGTCCACATCCTTTTATCTCCTTTATATGTTCTGAGAACTTCACTAACTTTTTTTTGCTGTCCTCATTGTCTTTATAAAACTTCTTTCCTTTCTTCCCATATCTATTTTAGACTCCTTTTTCCATGATCATTTCATCCCATGAAATCTTATCTATCACTGCTCTAAATGCTTGCTTAGTTGCAAGATTCATATATGATATATAAATTAGGAACACCAACATTATATAACCACATATCATTATCACGCTTATGCTTTTTAACTAAGTCTTTCCTACTGGTTAATATCAAGTCAATGACAGCTCAATGCTTTGAGATTTCTTCTACCCTTTGAAGAGAATGTTGTCAGCAACACAAGAATTTCCAGAAGGAATTGGTTTGGCAAAGCTTGTTTCTCAATGGAAACTGACTGTAATTAATACCTCCAATCACTACTACTTTATGTTTCTTTGAAAGATCTGCAGTTTCCTTCTGGAAAGGCTGAATCTGTATAGGAATTTGGAGATAACTTTAATGAAGATGTGTAAATGTCCTTAGGAACAGGAAAGTATGAAAAATAAATGCAGAACCTTGCCTTGTCCTGTTTGGTATAAATAGGGGCAAAGGGAAACTCTGACAATTATTCTGTCATTACACCCTACAATAGGGGTGTCAAACTTGCGGCCTGCGGGCCAGATGCGTCATGTGCTGGTCACACCCACCGCCAGTTTAGCAAAGGGGGAAAAGTCACAATACGTCAGGTGATGACGTGATGCCACTAGTTTGACACCCCTGCCCAATAACAATAGAGTAGCATTCCTGTGATGTTTGCAGAGTCTGTTTCCTGAACTGGCCTGCCTCTCAGGGCTAATACATTCATATCTTCTGCTTGGTTGGGTGGACAAAGGTAGACAACTGCATTATTCATTTTGCGAACTCCGTGTGGCATCAGGAAGATTATCCACCCAGTAAACGCTCAGCTCCATCCAGTTGCCCAAACTCTACCCCAAATTAAGAGATTACAGGGTAGTAATAAGGGAGTTATTTAAAACAGCTGCATTCTACAGTATCAGGTTCATTCACTTGGATTTCTGAGCAGGTATAGGCATTTCTGACATAGAATGCAATATCTGTTTCCCTTCTATTGCTTAATTTATTCCTTGTGAATAAATTATATCCTTCAATTGCTTTATTTTAATCAAGGGAGACATGTGACCAGATTTATTAAATCATATTTGTCTCTCTGAACTTGGAGTTCATGTTAATCTTCTCGTGCTCTGAACATTAGTATATATAATGAAGACAATGCCAAAACTTCCCATTTTTTCAAAGCTTGGCTAAGTAGGCCCATTTTACCAACAAACCCACATGTTTCACCTAGATATATTTTATCAGTCTTTGTGATGCACAGGCCACACCGAACAAGCATTGGATCATCACTGGCTCCAGATGATTACTTAAACTATGACCCCCCCCCCCCCAAAAAAAACGAATTTCTTCTATCAATTCCATTTACAATGTTTTTCCTTTTCTGGTTTTCTTCCAGGGAGTAGAATGGAAGGATGGA